TGGCCGGGCCGCTGGAGGGTCCGCCTTCCTGCTCCCCGGCGCGCGCCTCCCCGCGGGCACGTCCCCGACACTGCCGCGGGGAGCTCCCACGGGTGCCCTGGGCCAAGCCTGGGGTCCCATGACGGTCAGCACGGCACCCCGGGGCCCCTCTGCACTCTGCAGGCCGACCTCCAGGGGTGTCACCGTGCAACCGGGGCGGCGCGCACAGACCCCGACCTTCCTAGGAGCGCCCACGGCACGCTGCGCCGTCACACCACGCGGCCCGTTAGGGAGCTGAGGCCCCGCGCCCTGGAGCCGCGCAGCCTTCCGGGCCGCGCATCCTCGGCTGGGCCCCCGAGGCGGAGCCAGGTGGCCCAGGCTTCCCCGGGGCCGACCCTCGAGGTTCTGAATTAAGCCTTTTGGCATCGAAGAGGCGCAGCTGACACATACATAACAGATGGCCTGCTTTGGGCAGGTCATACTTTTGGCACGCTGTATTTTCTTTTTCCGTTTTCTCTCCGTTTAATTGGTTTTATATCTCTATTACCTTGTTATCTTGGTATAAATGGCTTCTAATCAAATATTTGGCAAGCCCTCTTGGTTTTTGTTTGTAGCACTGCTTCCATTCTAGTTCGCTTTTCTGTAGAGCTGTCTACTAGGCATTTCTATGGCGGTGAGGTTTCCAACATTCATTTTGCTCGGGACGCAGGTAAATCTGAACTTTAGGAGCAGAAAACTCTTCGCCGGGTACAGGAGCATCTCGGAGCGGCAGCAGTCTGGCTTTTCTCTCTGCTGTTGGCTCCGTCTCAAGACTCATGAAGCAAGGCTGTCATTCTTTTGGTTTCCAGGGCAAAAAAGATCGTAGCTCAAAGTTTAATTCTGCCCTCGTATTTGAAGATAGGAAGCAACTCTTTTTATTGGTATCTGCCATTTGGGGAGAGGAAACCTTTTTCACAAGCTTGTTGAACGATACTCCAGCGTGCAGTGTCAGTAGGAAAGGCCTTTGTATTTTCAGAGGTTTGCCATGAAATCTACCCCTTTGGCATTTTTGATGTGCCGATCTCTATTGTTCAGAAGTGACACTTTGGTAAACAACTCATTTCTGCACCTGCCACTTTCCTTTGGCTTAGATTATTTTCTTGTTAGCTGACTGTTTTTAATTGAAGTCTTCAGATCTCCTCCTAAAGCTGAACCTTTGTTTGCTGACAGGGAGAGTAGGGTATGAATGGAGATTAATTGCATGTCACCTACTTCGGGATCAAACTCGCTCAGGTCTTTAGACGGTATGGAGGGGTTTTACTGCGCTGTGCTGGTTAATGCATTTCTTTAAGGATTTTTTTTTTTTTTTACTTCGCAACTATAGTCTTGAATCTGAAGTAGAGAAAAATATAAAGTGGGATTCTACCAGTGCTTCTACTGGAAACTATTCCAAGAGTACGTTTTTAAAAAGTTTGGGTAACAATGGCAACATGTAGGTCATAGGTTTTATTTTTAATGGAGCAGTCTCTGGTGTAGACTAGCAGGATTTGTTACAAATAATTTGTGGATATTAGAAACAAAAGCGGCCATCAGTTTGTTGTCTGTAGCTGTTCCCTTGTCTCCCCCCAGCTCTGCACGTTTTAAGGTTAACAGTTGACAATTAGGGAACACGCAGGTCCCGATCTCTACGATCTCTACGATCTCTACGATCTCTACGCGTGACTCGGCGGGAGGGCATCTCGGGATTGCTGCCGCCCGGCCGTGGGGTGGGGTCTCCACAGTGAATTATGGCTTTCATAAACGGAGGCGCAAGCCTTCACACAGTGATTTAACGCTGACCTCACAGCCGTAACTTAAGCATTTATTTATTTATAATGACGCGCGCGTAAATGACGGGCGTTTTTTTGACATAATGTGTGTGCTTTAAAGATAAAACATGCAAAGCGCTGTGAAAGGCGCATGCCAAAAGTTTGCGTGCTGAGGAAGGGAACAGAAACCCAGAAGGTCTAAAATTAATTTTAAGTATAAATGTTTGAACATGGTGTCTGATTTGCCCCAGATCTCCCACTTCTATGGGATCATTAAAATTAAAATGCACAAAGTCTGCGTGTGAGGGTCTGTCCCAGATGTCCGTGGTTGGGAAAGCAAGGAGATGGTGAAGGAAATTGGGACGTGGCTATGGTTTGTGTCTCAGCGTTCCCCCAAAGCCTCATGTGGTTGTAGGGTTTTTTCGGAGGTGGCTGGATCTAGAGTGTGTGATTGATCTGTAGTACCATGCTGGGATTAAGGGTGCTGGGATTAAGGTGAGTGATTGCTGGATCAGTCCCCTGGTTGGATTAGCATGGCCCTAATCTTGGTGGACTGGATACAATGTAAGAGACAGAAAGAGGCTTTTCTCATTTCTCTCTCGATTGCATGCTTTTGCTGTCTTCTGCCTGCCAGGGACTGTTTCTCTTCTGTGATGCCCTCCCCTGCCACACTACCCTGCCCTGGAGCAAGCGACTATGGACTGAACCTCTATGAACCGTGAGCCAAATAAACCTTTCCCCCTTTAACTTTGGATACTGGGTATTTTGTTTTAGCAACAAGAAAAATAAGTATGATAGACATCATGTTATGGAATACTTTGTAGTCACTAAAAAGAATCTAATGGATCTATCTATCATCTATCTATTGATCAATCTATCTATCAATCTATCTACTGTCTATCTTGACTTGGAAAGTCTCTGTGGCTTGTTTTTAAGACTGAAAAATGAGAAAGGAAAAAGAGTGAAAAGAGGAATTAAAATAGATCATGTACATGTACCAGCTACCCACAAGGGATCTAAATGCTATGCACTACACAGATGTGCTAGTAAAGAAAATGATCAGAAAAAAATAATTTAATGAAAAAGACTAAAAAATTAAGTACCCAATAGCATATATAATATCTCATTTTTGTTTGAAAACAAAAGATAAAAGCCAAACAAGTTGCACATCATATATATATATATTTGTATGAGCCAAGGAGGAAGCAAAAGTAAATACCAAGCTGCTAATACTGGTTTCCTTGGGAGGAAAGTGAAAGCTTGGGAGATGGGGAGGTTATGAATTTTTATTTCATATATCATTGTGATGTTTGAATTATGACAACTACCGTTTATTACTTTTGTCATCTGAAGAGTCACTCAATAAGGTTATTTGAAAGAAAAGGGACAAGCCAGGCATGGTGGCACGTACCTGTAATCCCAGCACTTGGGAGGCTGAGGCAGGATGATCAATGTGAGTTCCAGGTCAGCCTGGCCTATACAGTGAGTTCAAGGTCAGCTATGGAGAGACCCTGTCTTTTAAAAACCAAAAAAGCCAAGTGTGGGGGTGCATGCCTGTAATCCCAGCACTCGGGAGGCTGAGGCAGGAGGATTGTTGCAAGTTCGAGACCAGCCTGGGCTACAAAGCGAGCTCAAGGCCAGTCTGAACTACATAGTGAGACCCTGTCTCAAAACAAAACAAAACAAAACAAAAACCCAGCAAAAAAATAGAAGGAGGACAAACAAAAACCAAATAGGAGCTCAGAGAGGAACAGTCACTAAAGGCCATTAACTGTGGCTGGGATTATGCTTCCCTCTGGTTAGCCCTGGGAATTAAAAAACATTTCTTTTCCTCTTGGATTTCAGGCAAATGTCAAAGCAGTGGGAGGTTCCCAGGGTAACTCAGGCAGCAGCTTCTTCAGAGAGACCCTCAGGCTCTCAGCGAGAAATAGGAACCAGGGCCCTATCAGCAAGTAAGTGTGTTCCAGATAAGTCAAATGAAGGGTATCTTCTGTTGTATTGAAAGAGGAGGAAACATTCAGGTCTGTTTTCAAACAACTGGGCTTCAGATGTGGAAGTTATCTTTTTGTTTTTGTTTTGTGATAACCATATGCTGAAAATAAAAACAAGGGACCGCTGGCAGTTGGCTAATCTTTGTTTCCAGACAGAAACGAAATCAGCCCCTGCCTTCTTCCTGCTTTTCCAGTTTGAAGTCCACAGCACGGCAGGCGTGATGGGAGATGGAAGAGATACGCCCTGGCTCAGTTTGTGCTGCAGGGTGGAGAGCGACCCTCTGACCGTACCCCATTTCAGCCCTGCCTGGAGTGTGGAGCTAGGCCCAAATACCAGCATCCCGGCTGCAGGCGCGCTCCGGCGTGGCCCCAATTTGCCTGTGGTTTCCCGTTTCTAACCTTCTCTAGGGAACAGGCAGTCATGCATCCTGCCCTCCCCTACTGTCCGCCAGCTCCGAACAGGGCCACACGTTGGCTGGGAGAGCCTTTTCGGTGGGCTCGAGCTCCAGCCATGGGCAGCTTGTAGGAGCGCGTTGGTGCCGGTCACTGGGATCCTCTGTGGTGCTCTAACTTGCTATTATAAATATTTGTGATCAGCTCTGTCCTCAGATGCCTTAGGAGCTTTTCTCACTTCTTCAACCAATCAGTCTGGGGACGCTGCTGGAATACTTCAGTGAGTTGTTATAGTGAATACGTATTATCTGACTTTACCATATAGTTCAGGCTGGCTTTGAACTTGCTAGCAGTATGTAGCCCAAGCTGCCCTTGAACTTTTGGCAATCTTCCTGCCTCAGCCTCCCAAGTACGGTACTGGAATTATAGGTGAGTGTTACCACAGCTGGCATTTACAGAGATTTACTGAGTTGCTTAGGTATGTTTATGTCATCGTTGCCCCGGGACTACTTTGTGTCTGCTCTGTCTATTAATTTGTTTGGTGCAGAGGATTGAACCCAGAGTCTCATGCATGGTAAGCACTTGCCCTGCTGCTGAGCTACACTCCCAGCCTGCTTTATGATTTTATTTTTGTCCTTTGACCATGCTGATAGGCCAAGGCCTATCACTTTCCTGTTGTCTTTATCTGCATCTGCAGCACTTTTGAAACCCAGATAACCAAGTTTGTTAGAACTAAGAAACTATGTGTAAAAGAGAGAAAGATTCTCTCTGTCTGTCTCTGTCTCTCTGTGTGTCTCTGGAATTGAACCCAGGGGCATTCTATTACTGAGTTATAGCTCCACCTCCCTTTGTCTCTTATTCTGAGACAGGGTCTTGCTAAGTTGCCCATGTGTAACTTGAACTTGTGACTTCCCCTGCCTCAGCCTACCTAAGTGCTAGGATTATAGTAATGGTCATTCTTAATGAACAAAGTACCAAACCTTTAGGCACAGGCTTGTGACACATACTTTTGCTGTTTAGTCTTTGATTTTCTTTTTTTGAGACAAGGTCTCACTATGTAGCCCAGGATGGCGTCAAACTCGCAGTGATCTTCCTGCCTCAACCTCCCAAGTACTGGGAATTTAGGCACATGCCATCACACCTGACTAGATTTTGCATTTTTCATTTTTTTAAAATATTTTTTCATTCTTGAACTCTTTCTCAGATATTTAGATCGTGCTATCTCATGGAGTAGCTATTAGCTATGTGTGGCTGTTTACTGTTTAAATTAAAATGAAATACAGATTTAGCTCCTCAGTTGCACTAATTCCTTTCAGCAGCTTGGCATGTACAATGGCTACTGCACTGACAGTATGTGAAGTCCCAGTGGGTGATGGGGATTATGTGCTGGGTTTCTCAGGGAAGGGCACTTTGATAGCATCCTTCCTAAGCCCTGGCATGTCTGACAGTGTGCCTCTCTTGTTCCATATAACCTTAGCTGTGGGTGTGAAGTTCTAGGGTCACACTTTTCCCCCACGCAGGTCGGCCTCAACCCATTATCTTCCAGTCTTCAGTTTTGTGGAGGAGAAGTCTGATGTCAGCCCAATCTATTTCTTTGATAACCCATTCCTCCCACCACTTTCCTGGATTTTTTTTTTTTTTTTGTACTGGGACTTGAACTCAGGACCTTGCACTTGCCAGGCAGGCGCTTGTGCTGCTGAGCTATTTCCCCAGCCCTTTCCTGGATGTTTATAGGATATTTTTTCTTTGCTCTCACAAATGTCACTAGATTGTTCTAAGGTCTTAGATGCTGCCTATTTTTTCACAGCTTCTTTTCCACAGGAAAACTCCCAGGCATGGTCTTTTATTTTTGCTTGTGTTTGTTGGTCTATCCTTGCTTTTCTATGTTAGGGGGTTTGAAGGGCTGTTTTCAAGGTCACCTCTGTCCTTTCTCTGCAGAGTCTGAGGACCAGTTCTACGAGAAACTAGGAACAAGGGAGAAAGTCAGCCTCTGGGTTTTGCTGTCAGCTGGGTTGCAGTTCCCCGAATGTTCTGTCCCCAGACATGATTTTTATACTCTGCTGTTTCCGTTGAAACTTTGTTTTATGCCCAAGGGACTCTTTGAAGTGCCCTGGAAACTTTTCCTAGTCTGTTCTTGAATGACTGATCACGTATCAGGAGAGATTAATGCTCCTTCCCTTGTTATAGATGTGTTGTAGATGCGTGTGCGTATTTTTGCATTCGATCTAAGTTGCAGAAAGATGAAAGGTTAGTTATTTCACACACACACACATATACATAATTGTTTTTCTAAAATGGTAGAAATATTTGCACTTCACTCTGGGTTCAGCCTAGATGTCAGCTGGCGCGAACTCGGCGGCTCTCCTTGAGCTCTGGGTGACAGCCCGGAGCCTGCGTCTCTGGCTCCTTTCGCTCCAGGCTCCCCGCTTCTGCGCATGCTCTCTGGCCTGGCTCGTTGTAGGCCTAAACCAGTGGTTGCCAGCTGGGTTGATTTCGCCCCTTAGTGGACTTTTGGTAACACCTGGAGACCTGTTTTTGGTTATCATCATGGGGAAGGGTGCTGGCATCTAACGAGTTAAGGGCGTGGCTAACCTCCTGCAGTACACAGGTCTGACCCCTGCAACCAAGAATGGTCCAGTCCAAACTGGACCGACGCTGAGAAATTGGGTTTAAACGCGGCCTCTCCGAGGGTGTTCACACGCATAGTCCCTGTGATTACAGAAGATAGTGCCCGAGGCCGGCGTGGTGCTCCGCACCTTTGAGCGCACTGTCTGGCTCTTACCTGATTCAGTCCCCAACCTCTTCCCTTCTTGCCACTTTCTTCCTTTATCCTATAGAAAGCAAAATTGACAAAGATTTTTTTCCCTTGTCACACGCAAAAGCAGTTTAGAGGCAGGTGTGGTGGTGGATTACACTTTAATCCTAGCACTAGGAAGGCTGAGGCAGGAGGATCTTCATGCATTTGAGTTCAAGGCCAGCCTGAACTGCACAGGGAGAACCTGTCTCAAAAAAAGGAAAGAAAAGAGAGAAAGCCGTTCAACTATCTGCTTAGTTGTTTGGGTTTTCACCAACACCCACACCCACACCCACACAACAAAACAAGTGATTTTCCCAAACAATGACAGTTCTTTCCCTAACAGGAGTTCCAGTGCCAGCTATTAAGATAATATTTTCATACCTAATTTCATAGATATAATAAAGTTTTTAATCAACTGCAGGATAGAAGAAGAAAGTACGTTTCAAGTTTTACCGTCTTCTGAGAACCCAAACACATGGATATAGCTATCGCAGATCTAACTTTTCCTGTTTTAAGCCATTACACCCCACAGCAATTCTATAATTTCTGCTACATTTATTCATCTTTATTTCCCGTGTGTTTCTGAGGTCGTTGCTTGCTTCTCGGCTGTGTCAGTGCCGTGGTACAGGTTAGGTGATTAGAGCAGATGGCTTTTCGGCTTTGGAAGTTTGGAGTTGCGCCGTTTAATTTTACTGTCCTGATTTTACAGGGGAGGCAGCTGGGTCGGGCCCAGCAACAGTGTTGTTTTAGCATCCGGTGAGTGAGCCTTCTGAAGTCCACTGCCTCTGGTAGCATAACTTGCTGGTTACATCAGTCCTCACCCAGTGCCTCCTCCTAGCTTGCTGACACTCTAACATTAATGTGTCTTAAGCAGATAGTCTTTTTTTTTGTTTTTGTTTTTTTTTGGTTTTTCTCTGGTACCGGGAACCGAACTCACGACCTTGCACTTGCCAGGCAGGCGCTTTTGCCGCTGAGCTAAATCCCCAGCCCCTTAAGCAGATAGTCTTAATTCTCACGATAGGAGCTTTACTACAATGTATCTCATGGCGTGTTCATATGTAAGCCAGTATTGTACTAGAGTTGGAATTAATTAAGGTCTTCATATTACAAAGCAAGTATGATGGAGGGCTCAGCTATAGAAAATATCCAACTGAATTTTATTGCAGTACTCTATTTTTTTTTTAACTTTTTAATTTTTGTGGTGCTGAGGATTAAACCCAGGACCTTAACAAATGCTAGCCAAGTGCTCTACCACACGCTACATCTCCAGTCCCTGGCCATATTTTAATGAACTTGCTTAAGATTATCCTTTTATAGTAATTTTTCCTTTTTGATAACTTTTGCTGTGAGCTTTTTTTGGCAGGGGTGGGAGGTTTGAGACAGAATCTCACTATGTAGTTTAGGCTGGCCTTGAACTCACTCTGTAGCCCAGCCTGGGCCCGAACTCACAGCGATCCTCCTGCTTCAGCCTCCTGAGTGCTAGGATTTGGGCATAGATGCACATACTTCTACAGGACAGGTCTTAAGGCTCTCAGGCGAAGACTGCCAAATGGGAATGCCGATTTGCAGGCCAGCTGCTAGTTCAAGGTTAACCCAAGCACCATCTGTGTTTTGGTTTCTGGGTTTTGTTTTCCCTGTGTTGTGAGTATATTGGTATTTTTATACTTTCCGCTACAGGAGGTAGAAGGACAGTTAAAACAGAAACATCACATGGTCTTGAGGTGGGGCAGAAACGCTCAGCAGGAGGAAGCAAACCACAGCCAGACCTCAG